GGCAGAGAGCACATCTGAACGGAGCCAGGATGGGCACCAGAATGGCCCGAGAACACAAGAACATCGTCCACTACAAGAGAGTGAGTCCAGATCATCTTTGAAAACCAGATGTGATTTTAGTCTGTGATATTTAAGTGTGTGTGTGTGTGTGTGTGTGTGTCTGCCATTAGTACCTGGAGGAGTGTGAGACACTGGGAGTCCCTCAAACAGAGCAGGGCCGGCTTGATCTGGAGCTGAAGATTGAGGATACCAAAGAGAACATCCGCAAGGCAGAGGTGAGTTCGTAAGAAGAAAAGGTAGACCTATACACCTAGAGGCTGCAGCATACCCTCTTCACCCCCCCTCTCTCCAGGTAGAGTTGTCTCTCCATCGATTCTCTCAGAGACAGCCTGTCAGACTGTGAATCAGATCGATGCATCTCCTCTCCTCTCCCTCCTCCTCCCCTCTCCCTCCTCCTCTCCTCTCCCTCCCTCCCCTCCCCTCTCCCTCCTCCTCTCCCTCCCTCCTCCCCTCTCCCTCCTCCTCTCCTCTCCCTCCTCCTCCCATCTCCTTCCTTTAATCTCTGTCCTCTGTCTCTGTGATTTCCCTCTGTCTGGCACCCCCTGCTGGCTGATATAGTCATAACGCCCACAGACAGAGATGAGAAACGTACACAGCTATGGACCACTCTCCACCTCGCCCCTCCCTCCCCCTCTCTCTATCTCCCTCCCCTCTCTCCATCTCCCTCCCACCCCCTCTCTCTCCCAGCCCCCATTATCTCCTGCTATCTGTTGAATGTTTGATGAATCCATTTAGATCTAATGGGTCCAGGGGGGAGGGGCAGAGCCAGGACAACCAATCTATGGTGGGCGGGGTCAGAGGAGGAAGCAATATTGATGAAAGTGTACTCAATAATTAACCACACTCCACTTCCTGATACTGATCAGACATTAAAGCGCTTTTATCTCCATCTAAATGTACTGTAATGAGTTTATCTCCCTGTACTTCCTGTGTACCTACATACTACTTACCTGGGATAGATTGAGTGTTGATGGGATAGATTGAGTCCTCCAACGTCCCCTGTCAGTTGTATTGATTACCCAGCAGTCTGTGTGTGTGTGTGTAACCTCTCTCTCTCTCTCTCTCTCCAGACAGTAAAGCTGAAGGCAGAGGCTCGTCTGGACCTGCTGAGACAGGTGGGTGTTGCCGTGGATACCTGGCTGAAGAGCGCCATGAACCAGGTGATGGAGGAGCTGGAGAATGAGCGCTGGGCTACAGTAAACTACACTACCCACGATCCCTCACTCTCGGTGAGACACCTGCCCTTCCTCCCTTTCACTACACCACCGTCCCTCACTTTGGAGGAAACTACCCACAATCCCTTACTACACTCCCTGCAATGCCTCTCTCCCACTACCTGTCATCACCACAGACTCATGTTTATTTACCACAGGGCAGCCAAGGCATGTGTGTGTGCTTCAGCACTTTGGTCCTGTGTGCCTAGTTCGTGTGTGTGTGTGTGTGTGTGTGTAGGATGTTGAGGTAAGCAGTCTCTGCTCCTATTCACCACTTAACATTCTGTTCACATGACACTGCAGCAACCACCAAAGAGAGAGAGGGAGGGGGGGGGGGGGTGAAGGGAGAGAGAGAGAGAGAGAGAGAGGGAGGGAGAAGGAGGAGAGAGTGGGAAAGTGATAATGGGTGAAACTGGAACCAAAGGAGAGAAGGGGGGTGGAGAGGGGAGAAAGGAAGAGAAGAGTGACAGTTAGAGAACTAGTAGAGGGAGTTGT